TCTTTCTAGAGTCTTTTTCACATCTTTTTTACATCGTGGTAACCTTTGACTGTTTCCCCTTATCGAGCGACTCAAGGGCTGGGGCAAGGGGGAGGTTCTCCATTTAATAACCAGTTTCCCAACTCTAAGGGCTGCGCGATTCAAAGTGAATTTGTTGTGTCCTGCACAATAGCTAAAAAAATCCTTTTCTGCATTTAGCACGGAGAACCAAGGCGGGTGTTTGGCCGCTTGCCTGCCTTATCAGTGTGAAAAGCATTTCATTTCCACAGACCTGGACAAATGCAGTTGGATAGTGAACAAATAACACCAGCGCTGCAGTGACACTAACTTGTTCGGCTCCTTGTAAATTCATTTGCATGGCACACGGCTGCCGTAATAATCCAAACGTCGGCAAGAGGCGTTTGCTTGATTGAGCAAGGAAATATAAATAAATATATATATATATATATTTGCGAGAAGGGTCCAGGTTTCAACCCTGTACCTTGCGAGACGAACAAAGTGCCTTTTACACATTTCAACATAAGCGCGCACTGGCTTTTATTAAGCCCTTTATTTCATTAGAGGGGCTTATTAAAACGTTTCTACTTGGCATTTCGTCTTGGTCCGCAGCCGCTCTACGGCACATAAACCTAAAAATCAGAAACCTAGGCAGACTTCCACACACACCCTTTTTATCTGCAGCATAGTACAAGTTTCCCTGCTGCTGAGCTAAATTTAAAGATTAAGTGTAAAGGTACATAATGTAACTTCAAAGAGCTGCCAAGTGTGGCGACGGCGTTTCTGTGTTGCAGAAATTGTGCACGGGTAGTCCTCACCTTAGGCCAGTGATGGTGAACCTTTTAGAGACTGAGTGCCCAAAACCTGGTCCCACCCCTGCCCCACCCCCACTCCGCCCCCACCCCGCCTGTCCACAGGGCCACTCACTGCCTCCAGGGCCCATCACAGATCACCCAGCAGCGCCATTGTGGCCATACCCTCTGCCTGCGCCCCGCAGCATCAACTGTGCGCGATGGGGTGTGAGGGCAGAGTCTTGTCTACGCTGCTTGGCTGCCATGTCCTTGGCTGCGCTGTTTCACGTGGGCCACGCTCAGGGGTGACTCTCCTCCAAGAAGGCTGCTGGTAGGAGGGGGACGCAGGGGGAGGCAAGGCTGGGGCAATGGCACGTGTGCCCACAGAGAGGGCTCTGAGTGCCGCCTCTGGCACCCGTCCCATAGGTTCACTACCACTGCCTTAGGCCCACGATTGAGCCCAGAGTTTCTGTGGCTAAGCCAAACAGTTCTGCCCCATTTGCCCCACGGTCGTTAAGTGAACCACCGCAGTAGTTAAGTTAGTAACATGGTTGTTAAGTGAGTCCGGCTTCCCCCCACTGACTGTGCTTGTCGGAAGATCACAAAAGGGGATCACAGGACCCCGGGATGCTGCAGCCGTCCTAAGTACAAGTCAGTTGCCAAGCGTCTGAATTTTGATCACGTGACTGTAGGGATTCTGCAGCGGTCGTAAGTGTCATGGTTCCAACAGATGAAACTCTTCAAAAGAACTTCGAGGCATTGTTTACCTTACAGAATCTTTTCTTCGAGTAGCATAATATCGGCACTTACATTTGTTGTTAATTGCGAAGTCATGTCTGACCCATCACGACCCCGTGGACAACGTTCCTCCAGGCCTTCCTGTGCTCTACCATCTTCTGGAGTCCATTGAAGCTCACGCCTCCTGCTTCAGTGACTCCATCCAGCCACCTCCTTCTCTGTCGTCCCCTTCTTCTCTTGCCCTCCATCTTTCCCAGCATCAGGCTCTTCTCCAGGGAGTCCTTCCTTCTCATTAGGTGGCCAAAGTACTTGAGTTTCAACTTCAGGATCTGGCCTTCTAAGGAGCAGTCGGGGTTGATCTCCTCTAAGACTGATCGGTTTGATCGCCTTGCAGTCCAGGGGACTCACAGGAGTCTTCTCCAGCACCGTAGTTCAAAGGCCTCTATTCTTTGGCACTCAGCCTTTCTTGTGGTCCAACTTTCACAGCCATACATTGCAACTGGGAAAACCATGGCCTTGACTATACGCACTTTGGCACTTACAAAATCGAAGCCAAAAACTGAATTCCCCTCTCCTGAGCACATAGTATCAAAGCACAAGTCCCTCCTCCAATTAATAGTCATAAATCACATTCCCCAATTAGCTTGAAATGCAGGCTTCCTCTCCAGTTCTCCAGCCCACCAATTCCTTATCAGCTCTGGTTACAATAACCTTGTTTCTCACGCTAGGTTTAGTGTTGCTATGTCTAGCTGGACTCTCGTTCATGTCCCCCCTACAAGCATCATCTAACTCTAAAAGCAAAAGGTAAAAGATGGCTACATTTCCCTCTGTTGTCAATGCCAAAGCATCCGATGTTAGCAGCGTTGACAACAAGTGTGAAAAACGGTCATAAGTCCCTTTTTTCCCAGTGCTGGTGTTCGAACGGTCACTAAATCAACTGTTGCAATTCGAGGACTTCCTGTATTGTTTTCTAAAGGAAAAGAACTATTTTTGATGGCTGATGAGCCAGTTGAAGCTTTCCTTTTGCCCGGCATCTGTGGGAAGGGACGTGTTGTGGGGAGGAGGGAGAAATACATTCTCTCCGCTTGTGACTTGCTAGAACTGGCCACAGGCAAGAGCAGAGTTTTCAGTTGCTTAGAGAAGTGCTTTTTTTTATTACTCCTGGATGTTGAAGGCTATAAGTGTAAAGCCCAGCCTTTGTTTGCACGTGTATGTATGTGTGGTCTTCGTTCTCTCTTTCCCTCCCTCCCTCTCTTCCTCTCCCTTTCTCTCTTGCTCTCTCTCCTCCCTTCTCTCCCTCTCCCCCCTCCCCCTCTATGTCTCTCTCCCCCTCCCTCCCTCTCCCTTTCTCCCTCTCTCCTCTCTCTCTCCTTTTCTCTCCCCCTCTCCATCTCTGTCTCTCTCTCGCCATCTCCCCCTTCCTTTCTTCCTCTCCCTTTCTCTCACTCTCTCCTGCTTCCTTCTCCCCTCTCTCCTTTCCCTCTCTCTCCATCTCTCCATCTCTCTCTCCCCCTCCCTCCCTCTCTTCCTCTCCCTTTCTCCCTCTCCTGCTCCCTTCTCCCCTCCCTCTCTCACCCGCTCTCTGTCTCTCTCTCCTCCCTCCCTCTCTTCCTCTCCCTTTCTCCCTCTCCTGCTCCCTTCTCCCCTCCCTCTCTCACCCGCTCTCTGTCTCTCTCTCCTCCCTCCCTCTCTTCCTCTCCCTTTCTCCCTCTCTCCTTCTCTCTCCACCTCCCCTGCTCTCCCTCTCTCTCTTTCTCTTGCCATCTCCCCTTCCCCCTCCCTTCCTCTCCTCCTCTCCTTTTCTCTCTCACTCTCTCCT